AAAAAAAAAAAAAAACAGGAAACACTTCCTAAAGGTACTCAAGAATTTCTTAACATCCAAAGAACAGGATGTTACATTTAGAATAGTTTAAAAAAAATAAGAGCTTATAAAAACCATGATCAAAATGTGAAAGCTGTAAAGAAACTGTGTAAGACTATAATTTCAACAGTGGAAGTTTTAAGAGACCACAGAATGTGTATGCACGGAATATCCCAGAAAAGGCTGCATTACTTTCTAAAGCATGTCAGTCTGACCTGGAATAGACAGAACTGGCTAGAGAACCTTTTCCATGTCCTATTTCAGGCTGCAACTTCTTCAAATAGCCATTTCTCTATTCTGCCATGGAAAAACAACCTGCAGATTTTGAAAAAGTAACACTACAAATACTTAACTAACCTCATCTGTGACACAAATAGACTCAATGAATGAGAAAGAACTCCCACAAAAAGAAGWGCTCTATGCACRCCTTCTTTAAGGWAATCACTGTCTTGRTGAGTTACATCCAGCTCACACACACCCTGTGGAAAAGTTCAGCTTTCCAAGATCTCTTTACTCTGAGGTTTTCTCACAAAAACAATGCCCCTACCAGCTTCGTCTGCTAGATCAAAAAATGAGCATGTGTGTGAGGGAAGTAAAGAAGAASGCTTTCTTTTGCACTAAAGATTGTGCAGGACATACTTGCATACCTYTAAAGGATTTTAAAAAGCATACTATGGCATAAGTAAACTTAAAAAAAATTGACAGACTTGAAATACATACATCATGTAAAGTAGCAGACCTTTCYGTATTAACTTGTCCTGCTTTATCAAGACAGATTTAAGAGGACTAAAGAAKCAACCTAGATATCCTACTGATATCTGGACTTTTACTATATAATTTCTTAGGCCTTTTTAACAGTGACAGGCTAATTTAGCTAACCTGCTTCACCAGACACATCCACAATTTCTCTCTGCAAGTTATCAATCAACTGCTGAAGACTCAAAATTGGAAAGTATGAGTTTTTTCCTACTGAATTTGCCAAAGATTCAASTAGCCACTCAATAGGCAATGATTACATTGCATTGTTTTAATTTCGTTTTTCTTAAAATACAGCCTCTCAAACAGCAATTATTTAGCCACAAGTCTTAAGAAGAACACCCAGTTCCAATTCTCATATTTTAATGACCTAATTAACTCTGTTCATTCAGACTGATTGCCCTGTTCAGCAAATGAAGAATTCATTAGGCTGCATGGTTTTTACTTACACCAAAAGACTAAGGGCTGAAACAACCTCAGGTAYGTGTATTTGCATGGACAATGGAGATGGTGCCTACTGTCAGGCTTCATTTTAACCCAACAGTAGTAGCTAATATTACAGGCACATTGTCTGAAAAATTTCAATGTAAATTAATTTCAATAAAGGTATTGCATCACAGTTTACCTCACACAARTACGAAATCTTAATCCTCATTCTTTCTCTCTCACATACGTCCAACAGATAAGGCAATAAAACCAGCATCCCACTCAACTCCCTCATGACAACACTCTGGGATTCTGTGGGAACCCAGGAAGGTCTATGATACATGACCTACCTATGTGCACAATTGCCTTAGGCTTTTCAAGCAAAACAAGTATGTTGCCAAATTGTTTCACCTGCTGATCTGCAACTTTTGGTTGCTTTAACCTTTTTTACTATGCTATTGTTTCACAATGTTTTCATTCAGTGCCACRTGAATGAAACAGTAAAATCCACTAAGGAGCTATGACTACAGCATTCTCTTAAGAAGCAAAAATCCCAAGAAAGGCACAGTAAAAAAACAGGTGAAAAACACACCAAGTTCTTTACACGTTACTTTAAATGCAAGCTATTTAAAAATTAAATCAATTTATCAATACAGAGGATCCATTTCTGAGAAATCTGCAAAATTTAGAGAATGAATTTGCATCATTTCTCCACAGAACATAAAGAATCTAAACAGTATTAATTTCTCTACAGGCTAAGATTTTCATTTAATGCCATTTTACTATTACTAAARCTATCATCTTTGAGTCTTCTGGATCAGTATTTTCAAACACACATTTTAATTTCCCAGTGCAAGCTTATGATCCTAGAATCTTCACAGTTTACATAATGCTAGTCTATAATCTAGTCCAGATCTTTAAAAGACTAAACTGAGTCATTAATTTATTCAAAAGTAATCATGTCTCTTACACTTTCAATGACTCAAGATTTACCTGATTGAGTGTTACAGGCTGTGCTGTTGCAGGAGTCTCTGGCCTGGATACAGGTTGAGCCACTATAGGAACTGTGATATTTCTTGCTGCTGGCTGTGTTGTCACTGGAATGGTTACAGGTCTGCAGACTGGCTGASTTATTCCAGAACCTGACCCAACCTGCTGTGTTGACAAACATCCACCAACTGGTCTCTGCAGTGTTTGTGAAGTTCCTGAAACACTCACTGCTGCAGACAATGGCTCAACTGCCACTGAGCCACTCGCAGGTCTGGGTACAGTCTGAAAGATCGATGGAACAGGCATGACACCGGGGCTGGAGGCAGGCGTTACGTAATGCTGACTCTCAGACTTGAATGTAGTGACTGGACCTGTTGCAAAGGATTCTAAAGTTATCATTATATAATTTTGCCATCAAATGTTTCATAAGTGTTGTGGATTTTTTTTTTGTTTTTATTACCATATTAGGACAACATAGTACCTCTACTGGGTGCACCATTCTGTATCCCCCTTCGTGGTGAGCTGAGGTTGACTCTGTTCAATATATCTGTCAAAAGTTACATTTATCTTAATTGCAAATAAATTAACAGCTTCATTGCTTTTCAAATTTAAAAGCTGCATTCATATACACTAATAAAGCCAATTAGGATTTGACTTGTAAATAATTATTTCTAAAACAAAAACCTGGCAAAACCAAGTGTAATTCGTACAAATTAAGACATGCTTTTCCACTCCTCTTTGGTTAGGCTAGTTCATTGAAGAATCTCAAAGTTTATTTTCTTGGAGCCAGATTAACACACATGTAAGAACACAAAAAAAAAAAAAAAAAAAAAAGACATTTCACAAAAAAACAGAAACAAAAACCCCAAAACAGAAAACAAACAAAAAAAAAAAAAAAAGAAAAAGGACATTTCACTAACATTTAACTTTGCTGATTATAGCACATTTGTTGACATCTCTTTCTCACATATCCATAATGCTTCCCATATACGAGAACTGCTCTACATTAAAGGAAGCATTTTCTCTAAACCAGCACAATTTGCTTCTGTAGTAACAAAATACAGCACTTACAAACTGGATTTTAGACTTCATGGTATCCATTTTCCAGTGTGAAAGGAAAATAAACAGATCAACAACCAAATGAATCCTATTCTAATTGCATTACAAGAGAACTAATTTTCTTACATATCCTACWTGGTAGTCTGTGTCCAGAGTTCTAGCTCAGCAGAAGCACATACAATTCCTTAAATTACATTTACTCCCTAACTAATACCACTGATATTCCCCAACATTTTATGTCTTAGTCTGGAGTTTCTGACAATTCCAGAAAGTTCCAAAAATATTCTTCAAATCAAAATACTTTTCTACTACCAGATTCTCAATACCATTAGTGTTGCTGACAAGTTGCTTGCTCGGACCTGTGAAAATATGCATATGAAATTAGATGGATTCTCCAATATCTAACCAACAAGGCTTGAAGTAACTTCTCAAAACAGGGTCAAATTACATCAGGTTCTCAAACAATAGATCTTTAGAGTACCTACATGTTGTATTTAACAACCCTACAGCTATTTCCACCAGCAATGGCTCATTAGTACACACTTCTCAAGTTGATAAATAAATCTAATAGCAGCAGAGCTCAGAAGAACACAGCTTCCAACCTGCCACCTGCATTAGATCACACTAATAAAAAAGCAGCTGCAACCAACAAATTTAAACAGGTTTGCATTTTTTAAGATATGATGAAATTTAGTCCTGTAATAGTAATACTATTTTCACTTCAACATAAMAGTAGCACAAACAAGGATTAAATTAATTCAGGATTTAGCTGAACACATRCATTATTTTTGTAATTGTTAACAAATCTATACATTATACATGAACTCCAGAGTGAAATTAAACTAAAGCATCATTTATCTACAAAAGAAGAGCTGTTCTTAAAGTTATGTCTCACAAAGAATAGTCAAGACAGTCTGATGTGCACACAGTTCACATCCTAAATTATGAAGGTAGATTTTACTGCTTTTAAAAAGAACATTTCAGGAAGCCAGTTATTTGAAATTATAAACTACATTTACATGACTCAACTGATTCATCTCTTGATGTACCCTTTCCCCTCTTCTATCAAAGTGTTATTTGTCCTGTTTCAGTAAAACAGCACAGAAGCATAAGCATGCCGTCAGGCAGAATAATATTTTAAAGAAGTAACAAATTACAGGTTTGCATCATTATGAAAAAGGAAGCAAGAACAACAAGTAGTAACTGTAGGAAAAATGAGCAGTTGCAGAAAAAGGCAAAAGGAACAAAGTGTGAATCACTTTTCATCTCAGTCAAAATAATCCTCCAGTACATCAGAAGGGACACTTGATTCTACATCACTCTCTGCCAAGTTGGTCCAAGTTGGGGTTTTAACTATTYCCTTCGAGTTTTCCACATAGTCTGCACAAAAACTAGTAATTGCACTGTCAGGAAAAGGTTAAGAAAATGCAATGCACTGTAGAAAATTAGGCTTTCAGAAAAACTAAAGACCTACACAYGAGTTTCCATTTGTCATCAATTTTTCACCTGATCAGGTGCAAACTGAACAGTGATAAGCAAAGCTGAGTTCATGCTATCTTGCCTATCACCAATAACAAACTGAAGCCTGACTACTGCCAGGTAGTACTACTTACAAGCCAGAGAAGAACTGAAGTCATTCTTCCATAGCTGTTTTTGATAGTGAAGTAGAAGTTTAAAAAGAGAAAAGTTGAGGAGAGGGAAGGAAAAAAGATAAAGTAAAAAGTTATACCATAGGTGATTTTACTTTTGTCAGGACCAAGTATGGACAGCACTAGAATACGATGCAAACATTTTAAGTCTCTATCTTTTAACAAAGTTCTTGAASTTTACAGAATCACACCAAAATTATAGTTTTCACTTGAATTATTTCTATCCTCTGAYTACAAAAAGCTCTTGAGGCTACAACAGCTACAATGAAACTTGGCATACTTGTTGTTCCAACACATGCTAGTACCTTAACAGTTGCTCTATGTCACAACATACTGCCAATGGCCAACAGCAATACAGAGGTCTCTGAACCTTCCAGAAAACAGTAAGTGTATTTTTCAGACTTTCTAAAAGTTTATAACTGCAGAAAACTCAAGAGCAATTTTAAAATATTCTTCAAATTTTTCAGAGTATCCAGAGTAGTTTTTAAATATTCACTCTTAAAAAATAYTTTCATGCAAGAGAACTTAAATATTAGCTTCAGAATTCTTTCAGTATTTATTTTTCCACATTTTTAACCTAGCATAAGAAGCCTTAAACCTACTACCATGGCAGAAGTAATAGTAAACTTAGTGTCCTGAGCAACAAAGTAATAGATGCAAGATGAAAGTACTGTGAACTAAAATAACTGAATAGCTATTAACAGCTCTGAAACATATGCAGTGGAGTGTGATAGGCAGCCTGGCATAATATTTTATCTTGAGATCCTTCACTGCAGATTACACACCTTCAGAAAACTACTATGGTAATCTTGGATACAAGCATAGAGGAGATGAGGCAGAAACCGCAAGCAGTAAACCTCACCAAGCAAAGTCTTGGGTATGTGACTGCTAGAGAAACTTCAGGCCACAGCTCTTAAAAACTGACAAGATAGACAGAGAAATAAAAAAGTTTCATGACCAAACTTAATTAAAATAACAACCAAAAAAAACGTTCTTCTTTACTTACCTGCCAAAGCCCAAGCATAGGACAAACATGGAATCCTGATCACATCTGCTGTCATCACAACCACCTAACCTCACTCCCCGCACTTAGGAGAAAACTACAGAACTTGATGAGAAACACCTCTCTATTTCACAAAAGATGGGTAAATTTAACAATAAAAGTCTACTTCACAAACAGGCTTTCAGTATTTTCATATTAATCACTTTCCAGATTGTGCTTTTATTGGAGACACTTAAGACAGTTACTTGGTTTTGTCAGAATGATGTTCACCAACACATGAAATGTGGGGTGGAAAAAAAAAAGGGACTGTAACAGGAAGACAAATTCATGCACATTCTTTTAGTAGGGAGACACTTCCAAATATGTAACTAAATATTAACTGTACTGAGAGCAGTTGCATGCATGGCTTCAGCCTTGTATGTACTGGCTTTTAAACAATGTCACTAATAGTAAAAACCTTCAAATGTCCTTATTTTGAGCTCAGAGATTTAAGCTTACAGGTAGCCAGAACTGACCATAGCCTGGGGCTTAGTACAGAATTTCTTAAGAATTCTGAATTTCGGTAAAACAGAGACATACAGCTTTAAGATGTGGAACTTCTTAAGTCACAACGTTAAAAATTATATACTTTCAAACTAAGTTTAACTTTCTATACCTTGAATTATCAGCTTTTAATTATGGCATAGTTTTCTCTTACATGTAGTAGCTGGCTTTGAGCTGGAGATCTCCCCAACGAAGATTGGCTCATCRTCATCATCCTCATCATCCTCTTCCACTTCTCTCACGCTCTTTTGCCATGGTTCCAGCTCCTCTTCTTCACATTCCATAAATAATTCTGCCATCTTGAGACTAGACAGTAAAAAGAACAAATACACATASCAAAACATTCAGTACTTTCATGAAATGCTTCAGCAAGAAATACTGCAATTGTCTATAATTCCCACAGAATGGTCTCTCTCCCTCCATGGTCTTTACAGGTTGAGCACCATCTGATACAGGAGATCTTCAAAGACTGATGCCACATCACCATTCTGACAATTACTTGAATGATCATCTCTGCTATTAAAGAGAAATGACCAAAGACACACTCCACAGAATTTAAGGTATTTTTGTATAAAACACCAGTAACTATCAGAGGAAGCCTCTGACACCACAGTGAAAGGTATCTTTTAAAAAAGACTCCTATTCCAGGTAAGTGATTCAAAAGAAACGTGAAGGGCCTTGCACAAAGCACATCATTTACTTAGCACAACTGAGTTAATGAAACASTAATTACAACTTTATTCTCTTTGCATCTTAAAAAGCTCAACATAAACAAAACAAAACCCCACCCAAACCCACAGCCTACCACAGCCATGCCAATTTTGCAAGATTTAGCCAGGGCTTCCCCTATGGTCACGTTTTCTTTACAACCCAACAAAACAGACACAAAATTCCCGAAAACATACAAAACAACACCAACAACAAGCAAACCACCCACAAAAAAACCCTGCAAACAAAAACACAACAGCAAAATCCCCAAGCCATACCTACAATACATTGCATACTGTTTTCATTATCAATCAAGACATGATAATAATTTTGCATAGATCTCATTATATTGAGTCCCTCATGCCTGTAGACTTGCTCTTGCAGTAAAAAAAGTAATGTACAAAAATAGTAATGAAAAATATGTATCTTTCAGAATTAACATCAGCATCTCTTATCACAACAGGGTTTATTAGTTTTTTAAATAAGCAGAGATGGCCAACAAAGTTTTCTTCTTTCTTTTAACATGCTTTAACATAACCTTGAAAGTCTTTCTGAGCAACACAATAAATAAGAAACTTAGCTATTTCTTTACACAGAGTACCAATAATCTAATAAAAGAGCAGAACTAATTAGCCTGTCACAGTTCATCACAGGGGAGCAGACAGAATCATCCTCCACGTGTATGAGAAAGGGGCTGCCGGTGTTAACACATGTTAAGTGTTGAGATAAAACAAAGTAACAAAGCTACACTCCTTTGCTTCCTCCGACAGCTTAGGGTGCTGAAGTTAGACATGGTGCTAGGAAAGAACAGGATACTAAATTCTTGTACAGGGGAAAAGAGGAAGATTCTGAAGTGAACTGCGACTTGACAGAGATGAGCCATGTACCAGGTGCTGTAAAGAGAATCAAGCCTAACTCACTAGTTTTTTCTTTCCTGTTCACAGAAAGGCAAAGTTTTATAGACTTTAGGGCAAAATAAATTACTATTTCAGAAACTATTTTTATAGAACAGACAACACAAATGCAATGTTTTTATTTAAAGAATTTGGTTTTACYTGACCTCGGGAGGAAAATGTAATAAATTATAAAACGTGCTTTGAGGATGGAATTGGAATTTACATTAAAAACACGAAACAGGCACAAGCAATCTATGTTAGCAGAATCCAAAGAAGACACATGTGACAACCTCATCTGCACTATAATGCAGCTGATTTTTTTCTTAAATACAGGTAAAACTAATTTGATAACATGGCCATGGGCTTTTAGCAAGTGACACCAACTGGACACTCTTAGAGACATTTCATTCTATGAATCAGGATATATGTACTAAAGTACTCTCAAAGGTGATTCAAAATGCAGGGCAGCTTTTAAAAGGCAAGTATCAAGACTAATTTTACATATTTTAACCTAATTTATTTTAATGCTATAATTTGAAACCATGCTTTCACTGATTTTTTTTCTTGGGAGGAAAGCTGGCCTAATGAGTTCCTACCCTGCTCCTGCACTGCTTCCTCAGTTGTGCAAGCACAACTTTGCACAGAACTATGGTGTGAAGCAAAGCATGTAAAAAATAACCTGGCCCAGTAACAGTTTTACTGGCACAACTGAGAGGTCAAAAATCTGTAGCCTGAACAATCAAAATTGCAGTAAGGGGTAATGGATTTGATTAGAAGATGTGTACAGGAACAGCTCCTGCAAATGGTCTCCATCGCCAAAGGAAACATTTACATCCATTTTTAGAATATATGTAGCTTCCAAATTTTTACCTTCTTTAACTATATTATGTTGTGGGTTAACCCACAACACATTAAGATACAAAATATGTTCTAGGAATCCTGCTAGCAGTTGCTCCCAAAGACAAAACCAACAGTCAATCCTTCCCTCACTCTACTMAAATATTTCCCAGTGAGGTGCAGACACCAGCAGAAGAAAAGCAAMCCTACTGCCAATAGACTTTACCTTCCTCATTTACAAATATGTAAAAGCATATATACATGTTTATACAAACATTTCCTTAACAATAGTCCGTGGATCTGAGAGGTCTAAAACTCAAATGCAATGCCAYATGCATAGACTCAAATAAAGTGTTTAAACCATTACTGTAAGGTAAAGCACCAAAATTGTGAAGAAGTTCTTTAAAACATTTTTTAAAATATCATTAGGCAATGTCAAGATATTGCTTTAAAAAGCAACTGCCCATCTAAAACTAAGCATAGCGAGGAAGTTTATCAGGCAGGCACAAAGAACCAGTAACCTGCAAAACCACAACTCCCTGGAACACTATTATAGTTACTAAAAAAGTGATAAACCTAACACAAGRCAGAGGAAAAAAGGAGAGCTCATTGCACAAAACAACAATAAGCTTCTGATTAAGTGTTTTAAAAGCACTAATTTGGACATCTTTATCATGGCAGTTAGGTTTTAAAACTTTTTTAAAAGCCAGATGTATTTATAACTTCTTTAAGTTGGGATTTCAAAGCACTCACAGAGAAACAACAAAAAATTATTCAACATCAGTAAGTGTATCAAGAGTGTAACAGCTGTAGCGCACACAGCAGAATGGTAGAAGAACAAGGTGAGGATWGACAGAAATCTGTACTGTTGAAAAKCACAGTAGATGCAACTACAATAAGACTTAAGAGTTACTGAAAAAACAGTTATTACTTCAAAAGCATTTTATCTGTTCCACTGTTAAGCTCAAGTGAGCCTTCCAGTACTCAAAACTACCTTGGACTGGCTTAAAATCAAAGAACTAATACATAGTGAATAAAGAGTGAGAACATTAACAATAATGAGAAATTTTTCAGACTAGCCTTGTCATCTTTCCAAAATAGAATCATAGAATATGATGAGTTGGAAGGGACCCACAAAGATCATAGCCCAAACTCTTAGCCCTGCACATGACATCCCCAAAAATCCCACCATGTGCCTGACTGCGTTGACCAAACTTTTCTGTAACTCTGTCAGGTTTGGTGCTGTAGCAGCTTCCCTGAGGAGCCTATTCCAGTGCCCAACCTGGGGCACTTCTGGGGGAAGAATCTTTTCCGAATATCTCACCTAAATCTCCTGACACAACTTCAAACCATTCCCTTGGGTCCTGTCACCTGGTCACCACACAGAATAGAGCATGTCTGCCCCTCCTCTTCCCCTCACAACGACTGCCATGAGGTCTCTCCCCAGCCTCCTCTTCTCTAGGTTGAACAGACCAAGTGACCTCAGCCACTCCTCGTATGGCTTTCATGTTACTCAAGTGATTGTTTCCCCCACTTCAATAGATGCACTTCAAATGCTCAGAGAAGTTTCACAGCACAGATCATACGATGTTGTATTTCTCAGATAATGTCCCATACAGGCACATAACTTTGCATCATATTAGTTGATGAAGGATGTGCAATCCACAGCTCCACCAGGACTGGGAACAACTGGRTTTTAATTGAGAGCTACATTTGTTTAGTAGCGAAGAAACAATAACCAAGCTGAAACTGCACCTGAAAACTGTAACAACCCAAAGCGTAAACCAACTGTCCTCAAACATAAACCTCACCAGCCAACGCTGCCCTCTGTGCCATGAGAAGGCACAAGCTCCGCCTAGGGAAGGGCAATATCGGCGCTGCCAGCCCGCCAGCATTTCACGCCGCCGAGCCGCGGTGATGCCAGGCCGTGGGAGCAGYGGAGTCCCGAGGGCAGCCGAGCAGCTGCTGCTCCAACCTGACCGCCCCGCGTCCCACCCCCCGCGCCGGGAGACCGCCGGCACTCGGCTCGGGCTGCGGGCTCGGCTTTGGGCGAGGCCCGCACGGCAGAACCGCGGCAGGCGGGGAGGAGGCCGAGCCGCGCCGCCAGCATCGCTCTCACTGATAACGCCCGGGGCCCATAGAGGGCCCCGCGCCCTCGCCACGGCGGGCGGAGCGAGCCCTGCCCGGGCCGCCCTCCAGGGCAGAACCTCCCGGTGCCAGCGGGGCCCGCGGGAGCCCTGGCGGTCTGGGGGCCCCGCTCGGGGATGCCAGGCCGCGCTCCGACCTAAGATGGCGCCGGTCTCGCCGGCGACAATCCCCCCGCGCCCGGAGCCGCCGAGCGCCGCTCCCGCCGCCCGTGGAGCACGGCAGGGCGGGCCCGGGGGCACGGAGCGGGCTGACCTTACCGTGCTGCGCGTCCGCGGGGGCCGCGGCGGGGCGGCCGATCCCTTCCGCCCGGACCGGCGGGGGATGGGGCAGCACCGGCTGAGGCGCCTTGCTCACCTCGCCGGGGCGCGGCGCCACCTCAGCGCCGCCGCCGCCGGGGAAGCGCGGGCGGGAGACGGGGGCGGCCGCGGCCCCGCGCGATGCCTGACGGGAACCGCGGGTCGGACACATCGCGGCGCCCGCGATCGGGGCGGGGCCGGGCTGGGGTGAGGCGGGGCCGGCGCCATGTG